TGGACGTGGTTTATATTCATTGGTGAGAAGCATGTAGGAGAAGTCACGTTACTGCACACTTGCAGGGCCAACCAGGGAGGGCGCTAAGCGAGATCACATGACAGAGGAAGTCCTGTTATATATGTTTCTTATCTAGATATGCTAGGTTCCTTAGTATACCTTTCTAATTAGCTTAAAGTAGCTAAGGAAGATATGTATCTACTAGACTATACTAATAATAATAAACCCTAGATAAGGGCATCCAGTGGCTAAGCTAGGGGGTACTATGATAGTTAACTATTATTACCTACCTACCTATAAGCTACTAACCTACCTATAAACTACCTTTTAACCTATTATCCTCTTTTAAATCTATTATTATTTTTTAAACTATTCTGCTATATTCACTACTACCTCCTTTAGTAGTTTGACTTGTTTATATAGAGGCTCTGTATCTCTATATCTATCTATATTCCTGTACATACTTCTTCATACTTTTCCCTACACTTAGTATTCTTGAAATACAGCACCATATGTTTGATATGCTTGGCTTGAATGTCATAATTTCCAACAAATCAAGAGTGGACTCCTGGCCTGGCTGTTAAAATGTCAAACCTAGCCTTGCTGCATGAGTTGCTTGTTCTTGTTGCTAAAGAGCTAGCTGCTAGAGGTCTAAATACCCTTATAGAGTTATTCCCTCCTTTACTACTCTTTTAATAACGACCTTGACTTTTAGAACACAGAACGGAGGATCCCCGTTGGCAGTTTAGTGGGATGGCCTACCAAAGAGCAGCTGATTAATATCAATTGTTTCCTGCCTTATCCCTCTTAGCAAGCCTGAGACCAGACGGCCAGTTGCCCATTCTGCTTCCGTTCCCGAATCTGTTCCACTGTCGATGTGCAGGCCTTGCGCGCCAGCTCGGGGTATTCCGCCTGAATGCGTTCGGCCTCGGGACTGCCGGCCTCTATCCCGCTCAACTTCAACTCGTAGATCACGGTGAAGCTGATATCCGTCGATTCGGGGGTGACCGTTGCCGTGTCGTTGTAGGATAGTAGAAAGGTAGTCTTTGCCCCCGTCTCTTTGGTTTTTGCTTCCACCTGAACCAGTTCAGCATTGCAAACAGGGCTAAATAACCTTTTGGAAGGAGACTCTCACCAGTAAACGGTCTGCAATCCACACATCTTGATACATGATCTCCCCGTCGCTTTTGTGAACCGCCCCGTTTGCCATGGTCAGTTTCCGCTCGAGGGCGTGGCCGTTGCGCGAGAGCACCTCGCACTTGGATACGTAGGGCGCATATTCCTGAGGAGTATCTGCAACCCGGGCGATGCCGATCCAGAGATCCTTTGCGGTGAGCTTTGGCTCACATGACGGCGGGTTGGCCGGGGTAGTAAAGGAGATGTTGTATTCGAAGAGGGGGCTGGAGTCTGCCATGTTGATAGTTGCTGTCATTGCACGCGAGGGCCTTGAATTTGCATTCTGTTGGATATTATATATACACGGAGATTCCGTCCGAGTATGTCCCAGTTTCGGTCGCCGATTTTTGTACCGCCGACGTGATATGAAGCTATCCACGGCGGATTCTCTTCGGTTTCTGATTCCAAGTCGGCTTGCGTATGATTCTCATAAATGCAACATCGAGGTCAGAAGGACTCGACAGACCGGGACCAGACTTTCTCCGACTGTTTCTTTGCGTCTTTTTATTCTCATCTAATTTTGTTACGAATCCTCTTTGCAGACAGATAGCTCATCCTAGTCCGAGCTACTGCAGAAACCAAGATTTACATACAGATCATACAAAGGACGCGGCTTCACGAGGCTAGGAAGCATATGTACAACTCTCCTATAACATACTCCTACAGTTCCCGGTCGAGACGAAAATCCGCCACTGGTTGAGCCTGCAGCTGAGCCACCAGACCTCCGGCGGCCAGGGATCCCATAGCCACCGCCGGGGTGACGGCCTTTAACGGAGTGGCGCAATCACCCACTGCAAATACTCCCGGCACACTGGTCTCGTGGAAGGGAGGCGTGGTCTGGATGTCGCCTCCTTCTGTCATGTTCAAGGCGAGTTGCTTGGCAAACGGTCCGTTCACCTCTGTTTGGGGGTTGTACACCTGCAGCGCGTGGAGAAAAGTTCGTTAGCAGGAGATCTTTTGCTCATTACACATTATGTCTGGGTAAAACGCTTACCAGGAAGCCTTCTGTTTTCGACTCGTCAGTCTCGCCAAAATGAACAATGACGGTCGTGGCGACATCGCCCTTTTCGAATCGCGCGATGGGTCGTGCGTCGAATTTAAGCCACGAGGTGGCGTTAGAGGATGCCTCTGCGGCCTGTTGGATCTCGTTCGCCAGCTGCTCATTGCCGTTGGTGTAGACAGTGACAGACTTGGAGAGCTGCCGGGCCATCCGAGCCAGATGCAGGGCGCGCGGAGGGTTCGCGATGGGGCCCAGGGCGAGGACACCGGCGGTCTCCTGGCCCCGTTCTTCGTAGCCGTCGCAGAAGAGACAGTGGTAGATGCCGTTCGCCCAGCACTCCGAGTATCCCTCGATGTCCAGGGGAATGTCTCGAACGCCGGTCGCCAGCACGACCTTGCGACCATACCAGCGTTGGCCTTCGGCGTCCCGCGCCTCGAACAGCTGCTGGGCCTCGATCTGCTTGATCGTCTCGATGGTGCTGTTCTGGAACTGAATGGTCGAGTAGCGGTTGGTCAAGTCGGCGCGACCTGCGGCGCGCAGCTCCGCTGGGTTTCTGTGGTCCCATCCGAGGACATTGTGCATATGCTGCGTCTTTGCATTGCGATACACGCCAGAGTCGAAGACGACCGCCGTGTGCAGTTGACGAGCCAGTCCGGTCGCGGTCGAAAGACCAGACGGACCTGCGCCAATGATGAGCACGTCGAAGAGGAGCGCTCCGTTGGACAGCAGCTTGCCGATGGACATTATGATGGTTCAATGTGTAGTAGGTTATGAAAGAGGCCACCCGGAGAAAAGAAAGAAAAGAAAGAAAGGAAAAGAGCCTCCTTTTACTCGACGCTGGGTTTGCCTGTCTATTTATACCCTCCAGATCAGCTCGGGGACTTTTTCTCGGAAACCGAAAATGTTTCCGCGGCATGGGGTGATGGGGCCAATCATCAGATGATCGAGGCATAAGACGATGTTGCCCCATATTCGAAAGATTCAAGTGGAATTACATATGAGGCCAGCCATGGACAAGCTAATCTGAGAAATGAAACCTCGCTCGAAGCATAGAGAACTTGTGGTCAGTGGTAACATTCGCACGCGGCCATGGACGAGCCGGTCTACCTCCCCCAGTCCCTGCGAACTGCAGTCGCGGTCTCGTTTGGAGTTGGTCTGCTATACTGGGTATATCGCCTGTTTTTGCAAAAGACAAAGAGTCTGAAGGCGCTGGACTTGCCGGTCCTGCAAAGTGTTGGTGATCAAGACATTGTGAAAACGCTGGAGGATGGCCATGCCAAGGTATTCCCAGTCTCCCCTCTTTCTCTCTTTCGATGGAATGCTCACAGGCACCAAGTATCCAGACACTCCGTTCGCACTGGGGGTGCCAGGGCAACAAGTAGTTGTTCTCCCAGTCTCTGAAATCGACACCGTCAAGGCGCTGCCGGAGAACCAGCTGTCCATCAAGAAGCACCATTACAACCAGTTCCTCGGCGAATACTCGTACATGGGCACCAAGGCCGACGAATTTGACGATGCGATGAGATATCTCCTGGTACGCAACACTCCGGCCGTGTTGGCCTCCTTTACAGCCGAGATCGACTACGCCATGTCGACCGTGCTCCAGCTCGCGCCCAACACGTGGACCCGACTGAAGCCGCGGTCGATCATGCCCAAGGTTGCCACGATCCTGTCCGGCCGCGCCTTTGTCGGGCTGCCGCTCAGTCGAGAACCAGACTGGATCGAGTCCAACGTCAACTACACTCAGGACGTCTCTCGCGCCTGGATGGTCTTGCGCTTCTACCCGCACTGGATCCGACCGCTGGTGGCGCCGTTTCTGCGCGAGGTCAAGGCCCTAGAGCAGTCCAAGGCACTCATCGGGCGCAAGATCGAAAAGCTCCTTCGCGACCAGGAACGGCAGAATCCGTCGTCCACAAAGGAGAAGATCCCTGGCGGCGATATGATCGACTGGTTCAAGTCGCGGTACCAGGGGAAACCGGCCACGGCCAAGCAGCTCACGCGCGATCAACTGCTGGCCACCTTTGCCTCAATTTACAACTTGTCCAATGCTCTGACATATGTCATATTCGACCTGGCCGCGTATCCGGCCGTCGCGGACGAGTTACGCGAGGAACTCGACCAGGTCCTGGGCCCCAACGCTGGGAGCGAGAGCATTGATAAGATCTCCATCACGCGATTGATCAAGCTGGACAGCTTTGTGCGTGAGTCACAACGTATGAGTCCGACCTCTTTAGGTAAGTTCAAGTCCCTCTTCTATCTCTGCGCATCTAACGCATATAGTCAACATCCCCCGAATTGTCACCGATCCGAATGGGCTCCGACTGAAAACCGGCCATGTGATCCCCCCCGGATACCTTGTGATGGTGCGCGCGCAGCCCATCAACCAGAACGCCAGTCTGTATCCCAATCCGGAGCGTTTCGATGCCTTTCGCTTCGCTCGTCTGCGCCAGCAGGGAGCGGCCCACGAGAACCGCTGGCAGCACACCTCCACGGGGGCCGACAACATAAATTTTGGCCATGGGATCTGGGCGTGTCCGGGCCGGTTCTTTGCCAGCGCCGAGATCAAGGTGGTCGTGGCCTATGTGATTCGTCACTACGATCTACGCCTGGTCGAGGGATGTCCTCGTCCGACTCCCAGGTATGGTGGATTGGCCATCTTTCCTGACGCCGAGGCCGAGGTCGAGTTTCGGCCGAGATTGTAGATTGGGAGAGATCTGTTTGTGTCGTGGTTGAGGGTTACTTGGCTTGCGTTAAAATTGAGGTTGCAGTAGTATCGAATAGTATGACAATGAGAACCAAATCTGTCCGGACAGTATACCTTTAAAGCAACGTCTATTGCTTCGATATATCAGATGGTCCCAGTCTACAGCTTCATGCTGCCGAGATGAGACCCCGGAGTGCTACTACGCCAATCGTAAGATCGAATGCATTCAATAAATGACATATACAAAGCCGTGACTTTCTGCGGCCATTAAAGATTCTCCATTTCGGTCTCCGAAACGACTCAGATACTCGACAATGAATGACAAGACGGATCCGTGGTCTATATATATTGGGTCGAGTCATCTACGACGTGCCCAACAACTCGTCGCTGTCCTTCATCGAACTGCCCATCATGACTGTACTCCCCGACTCTAAAAATGGCTACCTCCTCAACTACGAGGATCAGGAGCAGAGACGAATGCACCTGCAGCATGATCTGATCAAATCCTACATGGGCCAACTGATCTTGGCTCCGCTGCCTGTCGAGAAACCCCATCTCCGAGTATTGGACAGCGGGACCTTCAACGGTAGGTCTAATGCATTGCCTCTATATTGTACCGCCTCTAATACTTGTTTTGTTAGGCCTGTGGTTGAAAGACGCCTCGACCCTGCTGAAAAACCCCACCTTGGTCGGCACCGATGTCTCCCCAACAGCCTTCCCTGCCGACCGACCGGCCAATACGGAGTTCCACGTCCAGTCCATCTCCGACCCATGGCCAGCCGAATGGCGAGATTCGTTCGATCTGGTCCACCAGAAACTGGTGATTGCGTGCGTCCCACCCGAAGAGGGCCGCCAGGCGCTCTACCGGCTCGTCGAGCTCGCCAAGCCGCAGTCCGGCTGGGTGCAATTCACCGAGGGCAGCCTGGAGCATCTCACGCCGGAGCAGCGCCAGCGATACCCTGTTCTGGCCCGCTTCCAGACCCTGGTGGCGGATATGCTGCCGAATTTCGGCTGGAATCCGCGTCCGGGGAAGCTTGTGCGCCAGTGGCTCGAGGAGTACGGACTGGAGGAAGTGCAGGAGAAGGTCATGGAGATTCCCATCGGAGCGGGCAACTCGAACCCCAAGCTGGGAGAGATGGCCAAGCAGAATATGCTCGAGGTGGTGGCCAACTTCCGGCAGGCCGCGACGCGTAAGTTCAGTCCTTTGCCTTTGCCTTTGCACTGGTTATACAGTAGAACATGAGATTAACGAGTGTTGTAGGTCTTCCAGAAGGCTCGGCCATTCGTGCCGAGGACTTTGATCCGATTCTCAAGGACATCAAGGTCGAATTCGAGACGATTGGTGGTATTCTCCGATTCAACACGGTCTGGGGTCGTCGGCCATAGATGGAGGACGGCTTGCACGGGTTGTGAAGTAAATTATTAGGATAGTATTATAGTGCTATGAGGGATCTGATATAAGACATTGTTCCAGCACTTGTAACAGTTGACGTTTCCTTAAGGTGGTCCTAGGTTGCATTCTTGTTGTGATACTCTGGAGGATGAAAAGGCACATGCCTTATTTTGTCAAATTACAAGAGGCACTCATTCGGGATGAATTCAAATTAAATACTATCCATTGCTAGAACAAGCCTCAGAAGATGATACATCTGCTGAAACTGAAACCTGGATTAATGAATGATACAGAAAGAAAGTACGCATCAACCTGGGATACAAACGATATTTTGATAAAGACAACTAATCAGCCTTTAAAGACGCAAAGCAAGGAAGCAGACGTGTCGACACGAAGATACGTCTCAAGGCTCGGCAGTGGCCGACTTCTCCTTGCTTTTCACGCTCTTCCAACCCGAACCGAAAGACAGCAGAGTGGCAATGCCGGCCAAGACAATCGACACAATAAAACAGTCCTGCAGACCGGCCACATACGCTTCGAGAATGACCTGTAGCTCGTGGCCGCTAAACGTGGTTTGCAGCTCGGTTGCACCCGTCGACGTGATGAGGGCGGCACTGACGTTGGGCAGGTGGTGCTGCACCTCCTGGACCAGCTTGTTGGTGAAGGCGGCCTGACCGGCCTGCACGAAGATGGCACCGCCCATGCACTGGAAGAAGAGGATGATGGCCGAGATGGTGGAGATATCCTCGACGGCGACGACGGCCTGACTGGCCATCATGGGCACTTGGATGGCGCAGCCAACCCCGATGCCGGCCATGGCCTGGTATCCGATCCACGCGCCGGGGCCGGAGTTGAGATCGAGGGTGTAGAGCAAGCCGCTGGCGACGGTGGTGAGGACGCCGCCGAGAGTCAACAGTGGCATGTAATAGCCGATGATGCCGAGCGCGGCGCCGGAGAGAGTGGCGAAGAGACCATCGCCCAGGACCAGCGGCAGGGTGCGCACGCCCGAATCCGAGGCGGACGCATGCTTGACGGACTGGAAGTACGTTGGCAGGTAGTACAACAACAAGTAGAACGAACCCGAGAAGAAAAAGGTGTAGAGACAGGAAAAGAGAATGGTCTGGCCCTTGAGCAAGCGCGGCGGGATCATGGCCTTCTCCTGTAGCCAGAGTTCGTTCGCGGTGAAGGCGATGAGCAGCAGGCCAAACCCGACCAGAGTGCCCACGACGTCGGCGCTTTTCCAGGCTTTGGCCGATCCTCCCCACTGCAGGGCCAGCAAGAAGCAGAGGATGGCGCCGAGCAGCAGGACAATCCCAGACCCGTCCATCTGCAGCAGGATCTCCTTGAGCGGGACGTTTTGCGCGCGGGCCTGCGGCGGCGCCTTGAAGAAGAGCACGATCAGGCCGGCAGCGACGCCGCCAATGGGCAGATTGATCCAGAAACACCATCGCCAGGTGGTGTTTTCCGTAAAGGCGCCGCCGATGAGGGGCCCGGCGACTGCAGCAACGGCAAAGCTGGCCCCGATGGCGCCCGTCATGGCCGCGCGGCGCTTCGGGTGGACGGAAAAGGCGAGGATGGTATAGGAGCCCGAGGAGATGCCCGCGGCCCCGATGCCTGCAATGGCTCGGCCGACGATCAGGGTGACGGAGTTCTGGGCGACGGCGCAAATCAACGATCCGACCTCGAAGAGCAGGACGGCCGCCACAAAGCTCAGCTTCAGGGGGAAATAGCGGTAGATCTTGCCCCAGGTGCCTTGGAAGGAGGCGAGCGTCAGAAAGAAGGCGGATCCATACCACCCGATATCCGCCACCGTGTGGAACTCGTCGGTGATTCTGGGAATCGCGGTCGAGACAATGGTGGTGTCGAGCGAGATGAGGAAGATGGCGGCCACCAGGCCGGCCATGATGACGGTGAGGGCAAAGCCGGACGGATACTGCATCTCCTCTGCCGGGGCTGGGTCATGGCCCATGATTGACCCGTTGGGAGAGCTATCCAGCTCTGGCTTGGGCTCTTCGCTGGAAGGATTAGACATGGTGATGTAAAAGAGATACAGCAAAAAGGTAGAGATTGTTCAATTGACGATAGACATCAGTGCGAGCAGTTGGTGGAAGCTGAGTCTATATCTAAAGAGTCACCGGAGACATGGAGACTTTTATCTTGCACATCTTAGCTAAGAAGCGCTTCTAGACTCGCAGCACTTGTCAGCAGGTGGCCTGCTTCACTAGACGGCTAGGCTTGTTGGGCTTGGTTCTCATTTCCAATTCAGACCTGGCTGGCCGATGCAGGTCTCTGCTGAAGGAATCTGCTCATCTTGCTCTGTTTGCAGCATGATCCCTTCTGATTCGGCGTGGCATCAAAGGAAGTCTCCGTTAAGTCTCCGACATATCAACTAAGCCCTAAGGGACGGCCCGTCGTCAGCCAATCCGCGCTCAACTTTAATTCTCCTTTTCCATAAGCCTATTTCCAGGGGCTGATGAAGCGTAGAATATACGGGGTTCTACGGAGTATCCGTACTCTGTAAGGAAATGTAAGGAAATGTCATCGTGTCGATCATTCTGCTGTGGTAGAGGAACGTTCGGCTCGTTACCAGCTGGATTACAGCCAGGGAATAAGTGTCAATGATTACCCCCAGAAAGCGCAAAAGATTAGATATAATATTCCAAGTATCTAGCTTAATCAACTTTACCAGCCCCTCCACGTGTAGTCTCTTCAAAATGTAATTTCCGGCCATCGCCTCGCCCCCAGATCCTCGCGTGGATGTTGTCGTGATATGACCACATCAGCCCATACAAGGTCAGAATAATCCAACCGAGCCACTGCGGACAATGTCCGTCGCTGTCGGTGCGCACCTTGATGAGTCGAACCAACAGACGAAGCGGCGGGCGCCAAAACAGCAGAAAAAGAAGAGCTCCCACCCGCGTGTGGTAGGAGGTCGGCGGATCGTACGAGGGTAAGGAATCAATATAGGCGCTGTACGCCGTGAGCTGCTTATTCTGTTTGCATCCCGTGGAGATGAGGCCCTGATCACGACGCGAGCACCGGCTCAGATGAGTATACCGGACTGTGGTTCTCTTTCTTGGACAGGAAGGCTCACCAGGTAGCGCGCACTGGGTGCACCGTTGGGTCGCCAGGGATACTTTGCTTGCAAGGTTCGAGCGATCAAGACACTGCTTGGGTCCGGTTTGCCGTCATCGTCTAGGACAGAGGCATGTACCTCGACCTCATCGTAGGCCACTCCGCCACCTTCGCTGATGACCAGCTGCCGGTAGTCCTTGGGCTTCAAAAGATACGCGAGACCCTGGACAGCAGGGATGTCGCGACGAGCGGGTGAATCGCCCAGTCGTAGCGTCGTTTGCTTGTCCGGTGCAAAAGGGGCGACGCTGGCATACGAAGGCTCAACATAAGGGGTGCCGAAGATGTCGAACGTCAGGTAGTGCGAGGGGACAACGACCGCCTTGATATCCAGCGCCTTGATGCCACGATTCTCCAGCACAGACAGGCGTACGTTGGAGCCGTAGGCAAAGTACCAGATTACCCCGTGAGGGTCTTGCAACGTCGCTTTTCCCATGTTTGCACGTTGCATGTCAGTAAGCAGGGCGACCAGGGAGGATTATCTCTCTATCCATTTTGCCTGCGAAATCTCCCATCTCAACGCACCGACGGCGTCCGAAAATTCGGATGGCGGGTGGGATGGTCTAGAAGAGGCGAGTTGCCTGCAGATATAGGATCTATGCCCTTGCTAAACTCGGATCACAACCTACGTTCTGTTCTCTGATCGTTCTATGACCGTAAAGATGACCGAACGACCGTCAGATCTTGTGGTGAACCGGCTGGTGCTTTTTGTGGTGAAAGGTGAGTCGCGTCGAACGCATCTCAAGCCGCGCACTCATGGACTGCGACTGCAGGCACCGCCACCTCCACGCACAACACCGTCAAACCGTTGATCTTGCTCGAGGAGCTCGGAGTGCCCCATGACATCTACGTCGTCGAAAAGGTGTCTGCGCCCTGGTTCAGCGAGATCAATCCTCACAAGATGGTGCCCGCCATCGAGGACCGCTCGCCCGACGGCCAGGGCTCCGTACGCGCCTGGGAGTCGACCTCGACCCTGATGTATATTGCCGATGCGTACGACAAGGACGGAACCTTTGGCGGACGCAATGTGCAAGAGAGGGCTGAAATCAATAACTGGTTGACCCTACACACGGCGGCTCTGGGCCCCACGGCCAAGTACTGGCTGTATTTTCATGCGCTGCACCCGGAAAAGCTGCCCAAAACCATTGAAAAGTAGCGCTCCTCTTTGTCCTCTTTGCATCTCAATGATATATTCTAATATGGTACTTTCGACAGGCTGCGCACCAACATTACGGTACAATATGATATTCTGGAACGTCGCCTCAATCAACCCGGCCAGCAATACTTGGCTCTGACTGACCGACCGACCATTGCGGATATTGCCACCTTGCCCTTTGCCATGAAATCCACGGCGGAACTGTTTGGTCTGGAGTTTGACCGATGGCCAAAGCTGCAGGAATGGTCGGTTCGCATGAGTGAGCGCGACGCCGTCAAACGGGCATGGCAGCGAGTCGCCGGCTTTGGCCATGGCGAGAAGGAGTATGGACTTTTAGAGTCGTGATTCTTACTATCCAAGATTTTCATTCTGCTCTCATAGACAAGTCAATACAGTTATTCCTTCGAACTTTGCATTCCCTTGCTATAAATGCTCGTATTAAGTAGTAGAGATTGCTAGCCACCCGATGCCTGGGTTGACCTGTCCACCTCGACTATCCCTGTATTTCCGTGCCCATGGATATATACCAGTCTGCAAGTGCGCATCTACTCAACTGTCCAACCAGGTTGTTCGCCGAACAAGACGATTACTATAGTTCGGCGACCGAAAAAGAGTGCATGTCCGGCAATAGTCGAGTCTGTTCGATACGACCCTGATGAGGTATATGTATCTGGGCTCGCAATCAACAAGTGTTCGGTACTCGACATTAAGCACAGTTTTGAGAAGAAAGAGATATACAATGGCACCCAGTCTACTAGAAAGTGAGACCCTGAATGGCAATGGTACGCCGCTCAAGGAATTCAAAGCGATAGTCAACGAGCTGCGCGAGTTACAGGCACATGTTCAGCGCGTCCAATCCTCTATAGAGTCACCCGAGATTCAGGCTTGGCTGAATGAGCAGCTTCATCATCCGGACCAGCTACCCGACAAGGAGCTGGAGCAGCTCGCATTGGACGTGGTGGACAGCATGGACAAGCTTCAGCAGCAGCTCGTTCCCTCGGTCTCCTTGTTGACGGATGGCTTCTTCGGTAGGCACTGCAGAGTCGTGTACATTGCCTACGTACTGACAAAAGCCAAACCAGGATATCTCAACAGCAAGGCGCTCTGGACCGTCGTGGAAGCCCAAGTGGCAGACCGACTGGCCGAAAATGGTCCCCAGCCTGTATCGACGCTCGGTCTGCGATGCGGCATTCAACCAGAGCGGCTGGCCCAGCTGCTGGACACGCTCGCCAACAATGGCATCTTCGCCTACAATGCCGCCGACGATACCTACAGCAACAACCGTGCCTCGTTGCTTCTCTGCCACGACCACTGGACCCAGTGGCATCTCTGGGCCGATCTGTATCCCAACGAGTTCTTCGACGTGAGCCGGGCCATGCCGCAGGCCGTCAAGCTGGGCGAGAGCCGCACCGCCGCCCAGATCGCATACGGCACCGAGCTGGACCTGTTTGAGTACCTGGCCAAGGAGCAGAAGCTGGCCAAGTTCCAAAAGACGCTCGGGGCGGGAGCCGTCGCGCAAGCCCGCGGCCTGACCGTCGACTATCCCTGGCAGGAGATCGGATCCGAGCCCATCCTGGACATTGGGGGCGGGTCGGGCGCGTTTCTGGCGTCACTGCTCAGGGTAGTCTCATGGATATCAAGTCGGTCATCGAGCTCGTCACGCCCGAATTCCGCCAGCCGCACGGTCGGTTCAGCGATATCGGGTCTCGCGTCCAGCAGCTCTTGGTCGGCGATTTCACCAAGCAAATCCCTCCCTCCTCGGTCTATACCATGAAATGGTGTCTGCACGACTGGGTCGACGACGATGTGCTGACCATCCTGAAGAACGTGCGCCGGAGTATCGTGCCGTCGCCCGTCAGTCGCTTCCTCGTCGTCGAGTCGATCAAGTCACCCGGTCGATCAGGCCGGCTGCCTCGGTACGGCGATCTGATCATGATGATCACCTGCAACGGCAAAGAACGGTCACTCGAGGACTGGGAACGGCTGGGACAGTTGGCCGGTTGGCGGATTCAACAGGTGCATCGGGTTCGTCGCGCCTGGCCTTGTATCATCGACTTTCGGCCTACGTGGGATTGAATCAGTGTACATAATTCTATCTTGTATTGAACTTACGTTGACAAGTTGACGCGAACTAGTCCTTTTATGTTGATTAAAACATGTAATTTCAACAAGCCTCGGTTGCAAGATACAGAAGGTGATCCAGGTGATTGACTTTAATCGACTCGTTCCAGCATGATATGCATGGAATCAATACCGCCGCAACTGACTGTCAGTCAAACTCGGGTAGAGGCCAGAATCACGCGTAATGGATCAAAAATATTCTATCTTGTTACTGGGAAGACGTATTCTAATCATCATCGACCCTCCCGTCCTCTCCCTTTTCGTCCGCAGCTACCGGTTCGCACTGAATCCGTGTCGCAGGCAATCCCACCCAGCTATCCTCCTGCATGACATTCTTGTCCGAAGCGCTGTCTGCTGAGATAGAGACGACATACTGGCGAATGATCTCGGCGGTAATGGCCTTAAGCATCCGCTCGCCAATATGCTTGCCGAGGCATTGACGAGGCCCGAACCCGAAGCGCCACATATTATGGCGGACCTACGACAAGTCAAGTCAGCTTGGGAATGTCTGAATGCTGATGAGAAATCACATACGTCTGACTTGTTCAGAGTGAAGAAACGTCGAGGATCGTATTGAGTTCCGTTGACCCAGAAAGGGTTATGGATGTTGATCGCCTGAGCGTCCACAATAACATTGGTCTGCAGATGATATCAACCGGGTGCTCTGAGTATCACTATCACAAGCAGATACATACATTGCGGGGGATGAGATAGCCATCCACGTATTGATCCTCGGGCGCCGATTCAGGATTGGAAAATGCTGCCAAAAGGTACATTAGTGAAAGGGAATTCCAGCTGGGCGTGTATGCTCACGCAGTATAGGGCGCAATCGTGCGGATTCCAGCACACAGGCAGCCAAGAACGTGTCTTCCCGGTCAATGTATCGTTCATACGACTCGCTGGCCTCGTTCTTCAGCGCAGACAGGACTTCCTGTCGCAGTTCCGTCTGGGCCTCGATATTCTCCGCCAGCAACAACACATTCCAGGAGAGGGCATGCGTGGTGACGTCCAGATTGGCATATAACGATTCGTCGAGAGTTTGCAGGCACTATTGGAAGTCAGGGCATCTATTCCCCATGCCATCCCGAGCACACTTACTTCACGTTTGCTGATGGTCCCCGCCTGATAGGCCTCCCACAGACCGATGACCAGCGGAATAGGGGATTGATTGCGCTTGACGGCTGTGTGGTAGGCGTCTTCAACAAACTGCCCCCACTGCGCCTGGAATTCATTCAAGAGGCGCACGCCCCGCGACCGGAACCAAGGCGCAATAGACAAGCGATTGATGCCCCCCCGAATGACCTCCTTGAACAATTCCTCCCTCAATGGAGCGAGCGTGGTCAGCTGGGTACGCTGCATCGGGCTCAAGCGTCCGAACAAGATCTGAGCCACCGCCAAAAAGGGGTAGAACTGTAGAGCCTTGGCTGGCTCGACGTGAATAATTCCTCGCGTTTTGAGGCTTTGTTCGGATGACGTTAACATCGTGCTCTGAAGATATTCGCGGGCCAGAGTGACCAAGTCAGCCGTATACCGAGCGGCGGCAGGACGTGAAAAGCCCTCTTCGACCTGCTGCCGGACTCGTTTCCAGTCAGAGCCACTGAGCAAGCCGACACAGACACCGAGGACTTCGCCAAACAGCCAGCCCGAATCATTGTTCACTGCTTTCGTGTGACGATGGGAGTTACGGAAGAATTGGACCGCGTGGGTAGGAGTGGTCAGCACACTATCATCATCATCAGCAGCCAGGACTGTGCCGGGAGAAAAGAACTGACATTTCCGGGGACCAGCCGGACCAAATCTGATACATCGGACCCCATTGCTGTCGCCACTGTTTGGCAGCCGAACGTCCATTGAAAAACTTTTCTGTGCCTTGACCATTGGGCCATGAATAACGAGCACGCGGCAGGGGTTTAACACCCGGGGGATGGAGCAGTGGGTATTTCCATCGTAGAAAGGCCTATATGGCATCAGTCAGAATCCTTTGCAATGAGCGTCAGAAAAGCCGTACATCTACGACGACGGACAGAACCCAGTAGAGAACAGGCCGGGCCACCACGAGGGCCAGCACCAGACAGGGGAGGAGGACAGTGAGTGCATAAGCCATGGAGAGGGAGTTGAGAAGGATCAAGCCCTGCTTGTCAATTACAGAATAGTTGGTACAGTGAATAGGGGCTTGTCGATACCTTAACAGCAAGCGATCGCCGCTGCAACACTGCTCGGAGGCCGACTTTTCGGCGGCCAAACCACCCCCGGCAATAAGGGATGTCTCGCTATTCCAGGAGTGGCGAGAGGATGCCCATAGGGACTGTATGTGTAGTCCAAAGGAATACGCCCCACCAGAGTGCATGGCAAGGACGGCCACCCGTCCCCGGACCTCCCCGGAGATGGGCATATGAAGCATCGAACTGCCTCCAGTTCAGCCTACATAACACTTCTATCAACAGAAAAGAGTCAGACATGTCTGCTGCTTTGTGAATCTCTGCTGCATTGTTTGGTTCAACCCTACGCTCTTCATCATGCCATCAGTAGCCCTCGACCTCTGCCAGCTTTTTGCCCGGTCCGTCACCCAGACGCCACACCAACTGGCAGTCGACCATGAGAGCGGCTCGCTCACCTATACAGAACTCGATGTGGCCTCATCGAACCTGTCACGAAAATTACAGGAAGAAGGGGTAGTAGCTGGCGAAGCGGTGCTCTTACTCACCGAGCACGGCACCCGCAATATTGTCGCGCTGCTTGCCATCCTCAAGGCCAACGCCTGTTATGTCCCTCTGGACCGCAGCTCGTGGTCATCAGAGCGAATCCAAGCCGTGCTGGACCGGACGGACAGCCGTCTTCTCATCAACACAACCGTCGAGCCATTTGAAAGCTCGCGGCACAAAGTCATCCATCTGACCAGTGCCGATGTGGCCGCTCTATCGACAGACCGCAGCAGCACCAGGGTCATTCCCGACGTCGCTCCCGAGGACCTCGCCTGTCTGATCTTCACCAGTGGTAGCACGGGAGCGCCCAAGGGGGTCATGATTCCACACCGTGCGGTGGCCAATTATGCCCAGACGAGTCCATTCAACATGGATGTGCGGGCGGGAGACAGAGTGCTGCATATCCTGTCGGTATCCTTTGACGGTAAGCATCCCCTACGTCTCTATTGATTCATACAGCTCACTGTATAGCCTCGACGGGCATGCTATTTTCCATTCTAGGCAACTCGGGCATCGTGGTCCCCGCGACGATGGACACCCTCTTCGACAAAGCGCAGACCTGCTCGATCCTCGCGTCGACCCCCTCGATCCTGGCCACGCTACCGCTGCCAACGGCATTACCCGACAGCTACCCATATGTCCATACAGTTCTGCTGGGCGGGGAGTCGCCACCGGCCGCGCTGTTGTCCAGCTGGCTTGAATTCGGCGTCCGCATCCTGAACGCATACGGCCCCACGGAAACCACCTGCGCCTCGTTGATGCAGGAAGTAGAGGTCTGCCAGGAGACGGGCATGATCAATCGGAGTATCATCGGCCGTCCGATGCCCGACGGACCGGTATACCTGCTGCAGCCGGACACTCTCCTCCCCGTCGAGGAGGAAGGCGGAGAAGGCGAGATTGCGATTGCAGGCATCGGGCTGGCCCACGGCTACTACCAGAACGCCGCCCTTACAGCCGAGAAATTCATCGACTGGCACGACCAGCGAGTCTATCGCACCGGCGACCAAGGACGCTGGACCCGTCGTAACGATGGCCAGCGCGTGGTTGAATTCCGCGGCCGCAGTGATCGCACAGTCAAAAATCGCGGCTTTCTCGTCAATCTGCCTGCCGATGTGGAGGAACCGCTGCGACAGATGGGCTTCGGAGTCACCGACGTCTATGCTTCACTGATCAACAGTCTTTTGGTTGTGTTGGTGACCCCGGCCACTGCCGATCTGGACGGCCTGCAAAGCGAAGCCCAGCGTCGACTGTCTTCCTTCCATCGGCCGGGCCGATACATGGCTGTCGATCAGTTTCCGCTGTCGGCCAACGGAAAGATTGACACCAAGGCGATCGAGAACATGCTGAAAGAGCACCAGGCACGTCTCTGCGAGGCCACCGAAGATGAAGATACGACGTGTACAGAGCGTCCTACGGAGCGTGAGCAAATCGTAGCCGAATGCCTATATACAGCTTTGGAACTGGAACTCCTGTCTGCGTCGACGTCCAAAGATATCAATTTCTTCGCCATGGGGGGTAACTCTCTGGCTGCTCTTCGATTCACGTCCTTGTGCCGGGAACGGGGCATTCTTCTCACTACTCGTGATCTGTACCTGCATCCGACGGTCAAAGGCATTCTCCCGTATGCTCGCGACCTCCTTCCGTCTGGTCAGTCTGTACCCGACAAAGAGGAGCAAACCAACCACCGATTATCGCTTAAGGCCGAGGTCACTGCTGTACTTCCACTCCTGGACGACATGGTTCCATCCGACATTGACGTCGCTCCGTTGACCCCCCTCCAGCTGGAGCTGAGCGCTCCCATTTTTCAAAGCGATGGGACCAACACGAATCAGCTGCGGCAATCATACCCCTTGGCCGCGGCCGATCGCATCTGCAATGCATGGCGGCAGGTCTGTCTCAGCGAGCCCGTCTTCCGGACGCAAATCGCGCTGGACATCGGGCCCGGCGTGCAGATCGTCCACGCTCAGCCACGGTGCCAGCCGAAGGAGATCATCTTTCATCGCCGGGAAGACTACAACGCTGCCTTGACCGATCCTTCGCGTCTGGCTGTGGGACTCGGTATGCGTTTGGATTTTATGGAATTCATTCCGGTTGACCACGATACCGAGGAGGGTGAGGTGACCATCCTCTGGACGGCCCATCACAGCTTGATTGACGGCTACTCCTTGGGACTGATTCTGGCTCGGGTGCAGCAGGCGACCCAGGGGGCTACACCTTCCCGCCTCTCTTCCTTTGTGGACGCAGCGTGGAACCTGCAGAGTGTGCAGAAGCGGCGAGACAGCGAGGCCCGGCGGTTCTGGGAGCCGTATCTGCAGCCGGTGCGGTCACTCACAGGGACGGGCGCAACCACAACACCTGTAGGACAGCCGTACCTCGCCCAGGAGGTGCTGTTCACGCATGTCGACGGCGTGGACGAGCTGCAGCAACTCGCGTCAAGGTGCAGTGTCACCCTGGCAGCTGTCTACTACACCGCGTGGGCCATGACCCTGGCTCGGACGACCAAGACCACCCTGGTAACTACGGGAGTGGTCTTCTCCGGTCGAGAGGTTCTACCGGACGATGCGCACGCCATCGGGCCACTGATGTCCACCCTGCCTCTGGTATGCCGCCTCGAGGCAGATGCATCCACTGAGCGCCAGCTGCAGGCCACGCTCGAAGGACTGGCAACTATTAGCGCCTACGCCTGGTCTGCCCCGGATCAGATCGGGTACCGAGTTGAGTCTCTAATGGCGACGCAGTATGACTTTCCGGCCTACGACCAACCAATCCCGCCTCAAAAGGAGCAATTCTTTGAGAACACGACCTTTGCGTTGAGTCTACTTGTCGAAGCCGATGCTCGTTTCCGTTTGGTGTACAATCCTGCCGTGCACTGCGAGCAGACGGTGCAGCAGTATGCCGACACGTTCCAGCAGGCGCTCAAGGCGCTGGTGCATGGTTCGACTCTGGAAGCATGGCTCACGGGGCCGTCAGAGACACCCCTTGCGGTCGACCAGCCACATTCTGATCTCGAACGAGACAATGTAGCGAATGTGGCGTCGGCGTTTCAGGCGTCGGTCGACCTCCACGAGGATTTGATGGCCGTGGAGGGGCCTGGAGGCGCTCTATCCTATCGGGCGCTGGATCAAAAGTCCAACGCGGTGGCCTCGCATATTGCAAAACACTTCCCGAGCGCTCAGGTCATTGCCATTCATGCCGACGGAACCCTCAACTGGGTGGTGGGTATCTTGGGTATCCTGAAAGCCGGCTGTGCATACTGTCCGCTCGACCCTGCGTACCCGATGGCGAGACGGATCGCGGTTTACGAGCAAAGTGGTGCCAGCGCCCTCTTGATCCCTAATGCCTGCTCGTCGACCGCGGCAATCCTGCCGGTGGCCGACCTCCACGTCTTCACGGTCCAAGAAAGCGAGGCAGGCGACACAAGCAGGCAATCGTCGCTCCTCGCTCACGCAAACGAGGATGCCCTCATCGTCTTCACCTCCGGCACGACCGGCCGCCCCAAGGGGGTCCCGATCAGCCACAAGGGCCTTCTGGCTTTGCAGTCGAATCCCGAAGCCACTATGTTCAGCCGTCCTGGCCGTCGTATTGCTCAGTTCATGTCGCCTGCGTTTGACTACTGCGCCAACGAGATTTTCTCTGCGTTGCTCCATGGCGGAACGCTGGTGCTTCGTGACCCGTCCGACCCTCTGTCCCATCTGGCCAAGGTCGATGTGGCGACAATTACTCCTTCTGTGCTCAGCGTGCTGAGTCCAGAGGACTATTCTAACCTCGACATGGTATATGCGACGGGAGAACCCGTCACTCCAGGCTTGCTCGCTCGGTGGGCCGAGGGCCGAGCATTTTACAACGCCTATGGTCCTGCAGAGGTACGTTTCCCTTGGACTCCTCCTGATGTATCATATAGACTAATATCCTCGTCAGTGCTCTATTTGTACGTCGTTTACACGCCTAGTGCCCGGACAGCAGGTCACCATCGGAAACGCCATTCGCACCGCGCGAATGTACATCTTGGACCCCGATCTGCAGCCCGTGTCGGATGGCCAGACCGGAGAGATCTTCCTGGCCGGACAACAGGTGATGCGAGGCTATGTGGGAGACGAAGTCAAGACCGCTCACAGCGTGCTGCCTGATCCCTGGCATCCAAATGAACGGATGTATCGCACGGGCGACTACGGCTACTGGAATGCGGACCGGCAGATTGTCTACATCGGACGGCTGGACCGTCAGGTCAAGATCCGCGGCTTTCGCGTCGAGCTCGCGGCAGTCGAGCAGAAGATGTATCAGGAGGAGCCACGGCTCACCCAGGCGGCTGCTCTCGTCGTCAATGATACCCTGGTGGCCTTTGTCATGCCGCACGACGTGGATGTCAGCCGTCTGGAGCACCGACTGCGGGAGTCGCTCCAGCCCAGCTGGGTGCCCCAAGTGATCACCGCGCTCGAGGAGTTCCCCTGGACGGCCAACCGCAAGGTCGATTATCGCAAGCTGGAGGAGAGAGCCACCCTGACGCGGCGGGAGGAAGCCGTGCAGCCGCAAAAGACGAGTGCAGGGATCATGCAAAAAGATGCTTCCATCGCCGACGGAATCGCAACCCTGTGGAAGAACGTGTTGCGTCTGCAGGCGGGCGCCAGCTCGCGCGAGCTCCGTGAACAGGATGACTTTCGCGCGCTGGGCGGCCATTCCGTTCTGCAGATGATGCTGGCGGCTCGCCTCGGCAGCACGTTTGGGATCTCCGTGTCGATGCGCGATGTGATTGAACATCCCACCCTGGCCGACCAGGTCGAGCTGGTGCGCCGGCGCCGTCAGACCTCGACGACGTCCAAGCCGCGGACCATCTGCGACGCGTTTCCCGATCATTGCCTGTCGGCGCTGGAGCGCCAGACGTGGTTCCAATACCTGATCGCCTCCGACGTCCGCACGTTCAACATCCCCGTCCTCCTGCATCTCGGCGGTACCTTTGATCGCGACCGTCTGGTCCAGTCATTCAACGCCGTGTTGGCCTCGCGCAAGGTCTTCCGCACCAACTTTGTCGAGACCTCGCTCGGGCCTTGTCGAATCTTCCGTGACACGCCGCCGCGGGTCCTCGTGTGCGACGGCGCCCTCGACACGACCAGGGAGATTGACCGGGGCTTTGACCTGGCTCGTGATGAGCTGATTCGCGTCTTCTTGGACCGTCGCACCCTGCTCGTGGTCACGAGCCACGCCGTCGCCGACCTCACCAGCGTGCAGAATCTGCTGCAGGAAACCTCGGCAGTGTACGGGGGAATGACCCCGACGGCGGACCGATGGCACTATCCTCGGGCCCCAGCCTGGTCGCGCCAGGTCACAGAGCAGGAACGCCAATTTTGGTCCCGCTATCTCGAGGGCGCTCCCCAGCGCCTGGACATTCCGCGGTACCCTGGCCAGATGACCTTTGAAGGCAGCTCCCGAGTCTCCGACTTCAAGGGAAACCTCGTTCGACGCGTCGTCGCCTTGAGCCAAGAATACGGGATGAGCCAGCACCAGCTGGTATGTGCCGCCGTGGCGCAGACGCTTCAGTGGCTCGCCGGCTCGAACGATGTCGTGCTCGGTTCTCCGTGGGCCAACCGCGGCCAGGCCGTGGAGCAGGAGTCGATGGGACTGTTCCTCGATCGCCTGCCTCTTCGCTTCAAAACACCCGTCAATGCCGACTGTGCCACCATCCTGCAGTCTACCCGCGAAGCGAGCCAAGCGGCCGTCTGCAATGCAATTCCGTTCGAGCAGGTTCTGAGCCTCCTCCAACTGCCGCGGACCATCCAGCAACATCCGCTCTTCGAAGCCATGGTCACCTTCCATCTCAAAGGGGCAGTGGAAGATTGTCTCACCATCGACGGGCTGGAGGTGAAACGCGAAATGTGCTTTGCGTCCGGGGCCAAGTTCCTGCTCATGTTCGAATGGACCGAGATCGAGACGGACCATTGGACCTTGCGCATCGAGTACGATGATCATCAGCTGGACGGCGCGACCATCACCACGATCGATCAAAGCATCCGTTGTGTCCTCGAAGGGCTGGCCGACCGCATGTCTCGCGCCGCCATCCACGAGCGCCTGAATGCGATGATGGCCAAGAGGCCCAAGACCAAAGTCGACTGGAACTTCTACCACCGTCTGGTGGGGATTCTGCGGCGCGAGATGGCCACCTGCTTGGGCATCTCGCTGGACGAGTTTCCCTGCTCCGTCTCCTTCTTCGAGGCAGGCGCCGACTCTATCCATGCCTGGCGGTTGAGCCGGCAATTAAAACGCGTTGGGCTGGACGTGCCCATCTGCACCATCTTCGATCATCCGACAGCGCAGGATCTGGCTCAGCGTCTCTGTCGTCAGGTGCTTTAGCTGGAGCGTGTTCTTCTCAGATTTAGCAAAAGACAGCTTAGAATGTAGTCATCTGTCAATCATCACCTCTGATTTACATATACACCTGCCGATGCTTTGTTTTTGTCTGTCGTATATATTTCTCTATTCTTCGCCGGCCGCTGAAAGCGTTTTCATCTATTGTGCAACTCTATCAATCAAGAATGTTTGTTGGAATGTTTAGTATCAGTCAGAGTAAGTATATTTCTACGCTGGTGATCATTCATCGAAACAGAGGTGACGATTCACTTCAAGCAGAAACATGAATTGTATCCTGAAATATGCCTGTTCCTCTACTCGATACCCTTGACCTAATCAGACTCCATTCTCTTGAAGCAATTCAAGTTCCTCCCTCGTTCTCGCTCGCGCGTCAATTGCCCCTTGATATTCTCGTTCCACACCTCGTCAAACTCGTCCCACAGACATTCTTCCCCCGCGCCTTGAAGCGCTGCGGCAACACGTTCCACCTCCTCCAGCACGCGAATGACATTCAATCCCATAACCCGTTTGACGTCCTCCTCTGCCACTCCGCGCTGAAGCAACCCGGCCACCAAGGCAGGGTAGCACGAGACGTCATGCAGCCCGTCAGGACCGCGGAGCATCCCGTCATAGTCGGACCCGATGCCGACGTGCTCGTACCCGATGCGCGTCCCAGCGTAGATGATATGATCGAGGACATGGGCGAGCGCGGCCTGGTCAGCTTCGACTGCGAGCAGCTCGCGCAAGAAACAGATCATTATCACGCCTCCATTGCGTTGCAGCAGTTGCAGGTTCTCTTCGGTGACGTTGCGAGCATGTGCGCAGAGACTATATCTTTATTCCCGGTCCATGGGTATTAGTTCGTTGTCCAACCGGATAGTCTGATTCCCTTACATGGAGGAATGAGAGTAGATGACCGGTGCTCGAGAAAGCTGCAGCGTTTGGGTTTGGGCCTTGTGGGACGTGTGCGAGAGGTCAATCATCCTAATGCCGTAGGGCACGTACAATGAGCTTATGTATACCAGTCTGCACCAAGCAACGTGCGACAAAAGAGTATGGGGCAAAGGATACATACATCCCCATTCGATTGAGCTCTTGAATCAGCCGTTCTCCCCTGCAGGATAGTCCTGCATGGAGCTCCGGGGATACTGTCTACGCACGGATAGAAGCGAATTAGAACTCTGGACCACATGGCTTTGCTGCTGCTACTGACCGCCGCATCTGCAAAGGAATTGTGACAATTGTGCGTCAGCGTCACATAGCGAACGCCCAGTCGATACAACATGCGCAGGGCGCTGACACTGTTGGCGATCTGATGTAGGCCTTCCACCCCGATCAAACTCGCGACGCGGCCGGCGCGAAAGCTGCTCCAGACACTGGCTGCCGAGTCGGCGAATTGCAGGACTGTCGGGTGTGTCTCGATCAATCGGTGAATCACATCGAGCTGTTGAAGCGTCTGACGTAGTGCTTCTAAACTGCCGACCTCCTGATCTGCGTTCTTGGGGCTGAATAATAGTAGAGTACAATGAGTGTCTTCATGCGCAACTTGGGGATAGATGCTTACCAGGGCACGAATGCGCTCCAGAACTGGCCCCCCAACAACCCCTGCTGTAGACGCTGGATATCAGTCTGGCCGATTGGCATATCATACAGGTGGGAATCCTGGCCATTGATGTCATTGCGAAACCATCCCCGTATCATGTATGGAAAGTCGTTATGGCCGTCGATCAGAGGCACCTCTTTCAGAAGCCTCCGGGCCTGTTCTTGGATCGCGCTCGGAGTCATCTTGTAGGTAAGTCTGGTATCCTTCTTTACACGCGAAGGGTCTACTCTAGCTTGCGTGATCTTCCATTTCCTGTCGTTGGGGTCTCGCGGAGGTGTTGTACATCTGACCTCCTGCTTCAGCCTCTTCATTCGGTGACCGAAAGCCAAGCAGCCCAGGCTCTCAACAATGTTATTCTTGGTTTTTAGTACCTCTCTTTCGGATTCCGAATATTCCTTTTCGGCGGCCTCTTTCCGACAAACAATGGGATAGAAACGTGCGCTATCTTTTGGAGAATGTCGATCATGATATGATGATAAATCGATCTAACAAGTCGAGACGAATGTCAATTGTGGAACGCAGACAACACACAATGCCATCTGAGACACTTCCTCCTTCCCTAGCGCATCGTTCTCGCACAAACATCCAATGGTTCACCAACAAGCATATGCGGCAGGTGTCCCGGCTCAATGCGAAGCAGCACAGAGTCAACATGATGACGGCGGAAAACTGGTCAGTACGAGATGAGCTCGTCGACCAGTACAAGTCGCTCTTCACCCAACATCTCGCCCCCCGCCATCTGTCCTACGCTGATGGCATGGGAGGCGACGCAGAGCTGCTGCAAGCCGCGTCGGACTTCTTCAACCGGGTGTTTACCGCGCATAGCCCCGTGGAGCCGAACCACCTCGTCGTCGGGGCCGGATGCAGCTCGTTGCTGGAGAATCTGCTGTATGACATCTGCGAGCCGGGGGAGGGGGTCTTGATCGAAACGCCGTTCTGGGGTGCGCAAACAACCCTGGGTCTCCGTTGCATGGTGCTTGCTGATGCGAATTAACAGGTGGTTTCGAGACCAGCTTCGTCCTGCGCACCAACGTCACGGCTTTTCATGTTACACCTCCATCAGACGTTCATCTCCCCGATGTATCTGTGGACCATCTCGTGTCGACGTACATTGCCGCGTACGAACGGGCCCTACGGGAGGCCCCGTGCCGCATCAAAGCGATGCTCGTCTGTAACCCTCACAACCCATGCGGTCATATCTACCCCGTGGAGGTGATCCAGGCTTTGCTCCAGTTCGCCCAACGTCACGATCTGTTCTACATCTCCGACGAGATCTACGCCCTCTCCACGATTGACGAGCGAACACCGTTCGCCTCGGTCCTTAGCATCGATGTCTCCGCCCTTGGGGTAGATCTGGCTCGCGTGTTCACGCTGTACAGTATCAGCAAAGATCTAGGAAGTAGCGGGTTGCGTCTGGTATCTCCTGTTCTTCTTTTTCTTTTCTGCGGGATCATGCATTCCTAATACTGTGCACATGCAGGGCTTCGGCATCACCCAAGCCCATCCTGACCTCCGTCTCTCCCTCGCCATAGCGAACCATTCCCGCGTTTCCACCTTCACCTCGCTCGTCATCACCGCGCTCCTCCGCGACACCACGACCGTCGATACTCTGCTGCATCAGAATCGAGCCGCCCTGCAGCGCAGCGCCCGGCTGGTATGCGACTTTCTCACCTTTCACCAGATCCCCTTTGTGCCGCCGGCCGCCGGTGTGTACGTATGGGCGCGCCTGGGATGCAGGTCGTCTTCACTTGCCACCCGCCCCGAGCCCAGCTGGGACGACGAGGCGGGCCTGAACGATCGATTCGAGGCGGCGGGGGTCTCGGTGGGCGCGGGACAAGGGTATCATGCTGGCGAGCCGGGCTGGTTTCGTATTACGTTTACCCTTCCGCAGGACGAGCTCGTGGCGGGGCTGCAGCGGATCGAACAGGTGATTAGATGGGACAGAGTGCATGGCGTTGGCGGCTCGATGGGCGATGTAGAGATAGACAAGGCGGTATGAATATCCTTTGTCGAATATAGCTTTCAATCTGTGTTCAGACTGCCGCACTATTTCATATATATAATATGTGCATGCATACATTGGAACATCTCTATCCACTTTATCAGTCCCCAGGCCATGCAAATAACTATATTTATTTGAACATTCAGTCCGCTGTAAAGTGGTTGGCCGCTATCGGCAAATGCTAGGAAGATACCACCTTTTCCTGTCTATATATGAGGCTAGATGGATAGATTGCCAGAATCAGACCTTCATCCTTACACATTCCGTGTGTATGTGCTTACTATCCAAATACAAGTAGTGTAGGATGGCTGACAATTTCCTAACACATAATTCATGAATTCTTGCCCTATCAACATATAGATTATAACCAACCGAAACAATCAATAAATCGTAATCGTGCGAGTCTCGCAATCTTTTTTTGACCTTTCTATTTTCTCTTTTCCTCGTCTTATCACCGAAGCCGTCATATAAATGGGATATTGATCACATTCTCTAATGTGAATTCTCTTCCAGGTCCTCATCTGAACGAAGTTTCTCATCTTGAGGGTGGAGGGCGCTGAACAAAGCTGTCGGTTCACGTCAGCAGGTTGCAGAGTCGAGCCGGTATCTGGACCAGCGTGCTCCGAACTTGGGCAGTTTCGGCCGAGCATGAAAGATCGAAGAGTTGACTAATGTCGGGCGCGAATGGGAAGGGGGATGAGGAGGAAGAAGAAGAGGAGGAGCTAGACCGGTCATGGCAATCAACGGCATGCCCGCGGCCGTCAAAGGAAACGGGAGCACGGAGCAGATCCCAGATCTGCCAGCAGACGGCCAGTAAGCGTCGCACCCCGGACCGAATCAAGACGTTTACAATCTGACTGTGCTCCTCCGCATCGTGCTCACCCGGGAGAGGGGCGATTTGGTAGTTTCCTAGCTGGAAGGAGGGATTGGTGGCGCCACTGCGGCTGCTCGAGGGCAGCAAGAGCTCGGAGCCTGGCGTACAGGGGAGAAACGTGGAGGCGAATAGGTCCTCCTCAAAGTCGACGGAGGAGACAGCCGCGTCGGCCCCTGTGTTGGTGGTCTTTTCCAGGGCGGTCGTTGCCAGCTGCAGCGCGGTCACAGCCAGGCTGATACTGCCGGCATCTTTCGGGCAGTATAAACACTGGTAGAAGCGGGAAAATGCACGAGCAAAGTTCCGGACAAAGACAAACGTGGCATCGTGTCGACGGATATCCCGAGAAGTTAGGCTGCTGAGGGTCTGGAGACATTTGCAGGGGCGCAGCGGCTTGGAGGGAGGATCCAGCGGCTCCTTGCTCGCCGGCTGGCACTCAGGCTTGGGTGTCATGCCCCAGAGAAGGGGGTCGTTGGGGTCAGGGCCTGAAGAGGAGAGACAGGTTGTCTCCAATGGCGGCGGGAACGAAAGGTCGGAATCGGGTATCGACGGCAGGGGAGGGATCCAATCCGTCGAAAACGCAGTAGCCCCTGTATCACTGCAGCTGGGGGTGCCATTGCGTTCAGCAAAGAAAATTGGGTTCAATTCCTCCTCTTCGTCGAACAGACAGAGGGAGGAAAAGTCGTCAGGGCGGGGAGAGGGAAGCGGCGGGGGCGGGGGATCGACCGCGGCGGCGTCGGCGGCGGCGGCTTCGGCGGTTGGACCCTGGGAGGCAGGGACCGGGTTTCCCGCTAGGCGGGCCGTTTCCGCGGCCGCCGCCACCCGCTGCTCCCGCTCCAGAGTTTTGCGACTGCGGGACCCCTTGGGTTTGCCGCAGCGGGAGGAATAGCTGTAGGTACACGGACTCAAGTACTCGTGGCATCGGCTGCAAGGGTTGCCGCCCGAGCATCGAGTCTTGGACCGGTGACAGCCATCGCATGCCAATCGTAGCTTGCGAGGCCTGGCTTGGGCTGGTTTGGGCGCGGGAGTACTCATTGTGGTCGTCGGAGACGAGGTGAAAGTTGACGACACATCCTGCATGTCTTTCGCAATCGCTGACGAGTTAGCTCTGGTAGACTACCGTTCTTAAATATCAGCAGCAGCAACGCCTCGGAGGACGCCTTTGGCCTCAATATCACGTTGCAGCACCGCTAGCAGGGGTTGGTCTGACGCCTGAATCCTTCGCGCCTGCGGATTCCTGTCTGACGACGCTGATCTGGCCTGTCAGACGTCAAAGAGAGGTCTCTCGCATCTTCATCCCGCAATCCAACTCAATTGACCTCGATAGAGTCGACGTTGACATTGTCGTCGGTCCCATCCAGAATCTGCGGCTCTTCAACGCTCATACCCCAGTGCATGATGAGGCACAATCTTGCAGCCAGATGAAAACGTGCTTGTGCAACATTCTGAAGAAAACGATCTCCGAGTCAAATTCTATTTCTGCTGCTGCACGGTTCACCTCCCGCCAACTGATTGGTCAAGCAGAAACAGCTAGGCGGCCGAAAATCCCTGGCCAAGGATGTGTCAGCACTCTGCAGTTTACTCCGTGCCATGTTTCGGACAGTCTCCGAAGTACCGTAGAGAGTAGATCTCTACTCCGTATGCTCGGTTGCGACGGTGTTGCATATGTTGATACTACGTTGACCTCTCGCTAGCTCGGGGGCGCCGATGGCTGGCTGCATTCAAATGGCGATCACCAACAGGACCAAAAAGCAAGTATGGTATGTGGTTGGTGGTGCAGAACGGCCGAGGACCTTGTTGGTTAAGGCGGAGACTTTTATGCAGTAGACCGTGCAGAACGGAGACTTAATGTTTGACGAGGTACAGAAGAGGCATCGATCCCTGCCCATCTCGATGAATGGGATTGATGACCGGGTTGTATGATACTCGATGAGTCTTTGTTGTCCATCCAGCCCCATTCCTGGATTACTTCATGATTAATCATCTTAATGAATGCCATTCTCACAAAGCTAACAGCCCAACCGTAAGTCTGAGCTAGAGCTAGAGCCGTACTATGCGATAGAGCAAGCCAAAAGTCCTGTATGGAGCATACATAACTATGTATTGCCGGAGCTAGTCATGTAGGGGCAGGTCTAGCCCCCCGGAGGCACCCTCTTTCTCAATCAACAAGTCAGCATCGCACTCTCGTGCAGATCACCCGGTGAAGTGGCTTGCTAGGTACGCCTTCGTCAATGACAGTGATGAGGGGTGGTACTATGATAGAGGTGGGTTGAAGATTATCTTGCTGGGTAGGTGACCCCAATGAATCCCAGCCGTTGTATGTATTTTTGTTTTGAGATCTTCTTCAATGATCCTGATCTCTCCTGCTCTCCTCTAGACTGCATCCTCCACGTGAAGACCACTTAAGTCCTGGTCGAGGTCAAACTCCTGGGACAAAGGCAACATCGAAGTCTTGTTTCCAGAATTCCAGTCATGAACTTGCTGTTCTGGATTGCCTGATGGTTGCTTTTGGTTGACAGAGCTAGCCATGCAGAGTTGAAGCTTGGTAAAGCTCTTGACTGTCCTGTTCCCCAGAGGGAGACCCGCTGATGCAGTGAGCATCTCGGCCATTGAACGAGTTGACTCTTGTTTGTCCTTATATGGGCCGCGTAAATCTCGATCTTCTGCCACTCTGATGACAGGGGAGCCATCATCCTGCACAAGAAAATGACCATGAATCGAATCATACTTGAGCACGTTTCCTAGAGCACACCCAAGACCCCTCAGGTCAGTGGATGTGGTAGCCAAAAGCAATGATGGGCGGAGGAATGGACACGATCGAGCAAGGATGGTTGACAGCAACGACCTCGACTTCATCATGTATGAAGGAGTTCCGACAGACGATGCGACATTAGGCCGAAGCCATTAATGCCAACCTGGACTGACATTTTGCGTCCCCTTTATGTTCTTCGATTCGATCACCATGGAACAATAGGTTTGCTTGATATACCTTCTGATGGACTAAAATAGATGTTTGAGGTAGCAGTTCTAGATTGCTCTTCTACGAGATGATACTCCCGCAATGCGATTTGGGTTATTACCTACCTGGATGAGCATCTTTGGTGAATTGCGCAAGGGGAGCCAATATCTAGGAATGGCAAAATCGCCGCCAGAGGGCAATGTTCCTGGTTATTATAAGCTAATAGCAGATGGTTAATGGAATACTTTCTGACTAAAGGTGAATAACTCTGCCTATTTAATTCAATGTGTGTCATCACATTAATATGTCAGGCTCTCTTGTGTACTATTGCCACTGTGTGCCATTGCTAGTAGTCATTCTTGTCTATATCACAATAGATTATGCTCTAATATGGCGCTGTCACTACTGCAATTGATAAAGGCAGTCTGGATAACTCTCCTGCTTTATACAATTTGCAGATATGCGTCTAGCATCACCGTACCTAGGTTTGCCAGGCTTGGAGTCAAACTGTATTTAAGCCAATGAATCCTTAAGATTGTGTTGTACACCAATGAGTTCTGTGTCCTTCCCAGCCTGCTCTGTTAGATAATATAACCTACCTTACCTTCACACACCTATATGTTACAGCACCAACGACGTTAGGCGGATATAACAGGCAGAATCAAGAAGCAACGACAGCCAGTCATTTAGGCAAGGACTGACCATGATGGATGCCTAAGGGAAAGGCGCAGCGGAATCACTATGT